AGATGTGGCGGTCGCCAAGCCCCCACTGTGTGCAGCCGTGGTGGTACACCGCGGCTCTGTCGCCACCGACACGGCCAGAAGGCTACAATCAGTCATCCACAGTGCCGGCGGCGGTAGATGCTGCCGCCGGCCTTAATTTTTTTTTAATCTTTTCCTTATGCAACGGCCTTGGCCGCCGCTGTTCCTTATCCCGCCGCGGCCACAAGTTGCGGCTAGCCCATCGGCGCGGCCTAATGGCCGCGCCCTTATTTTCGCAACACCGGCAGCCAAGGCTGCCGTCGTCCACAATCTTTATTCCAAAATTTTTTTTCCCAGAAAGCCTTTTACCTAATTTTCTTAATTCTTAATTTTCCAGACAGTCAAATTTTGTGAATAACAATTAATCTGAAAATTATTCAACAAATAATAATCGAAATCAATCACCAATAACTCATATAATTATCAATATACATGCTTGTAGAAAAATCATATAAATCAATCCACATAATATTCAACCGGAGATATTGGAGAAAAAAATTCTCTCAATAATTTAATGTGATGGCTGTTCTGATACCATTTGTTGGATCTTTAAATCCTTATTCCACATTCCAGGAATCATCACACCAAATTACTAAGAAAATAGGTTAGAACAAATACTTGTCTCCATTGGTGTAGCCTTAATCTCCAATAGAATTCTCTAAGACAACGAGCACGTCGAGTTATTGTCTTCCTCAGTCAAATCACCAGATTCTTGAATGGGGTGTTTTCTCTCTAGATGGGGAAGAAGAAAAACGACCAAATGATTTGACGTATTAGGAACCATAACTTAAGTTTCTTTATATATTGCCCCATTAGGCTCATATTAAACCTAATTTGATCAATATTGGGTATCCACCAATTCAGCTCATACTCAGTTAGGAGACTATTTTGAGCTCTCTACAATTAGACCGCTTAATTAGCCTAATTAATTAGATAGCGTTAATATAATTGTTATAAATATGTGCCCATAATTATTATTAGGAAATATAATTTCCTAACATCATAATTCTAATTGTATTAAATCGTATTTTTGACATTTTTGTCCATGACTATCCCAATTAATTGATTAAGTTGGAAATAATATTATATTATATTAGAGAGACTTTTATTTGCTACTAGTTAGAGCTTTCCCACGTGGGTTTTCTTTTATACATAGATATTTTATTTTCCAAGGGTTTAGCTTCATTTGTTAGTTTTATAATTCTCAAAAGAGTTTAGTAGAATTATATAATAAAATTAAAAATAAGACATTACTTGAAAAATAATAATTCAAAAGATTGAGAAAACGAACATAAGATTTGGGGGTAAAAAAGGTTAAAAAAATAAATTAGTAGAAACAACAATAAAAAATAGACTTAAGCAGGGTTATATTTGAGAAAATTTATTTTCTTAGAAAGAGAAAAAAATATTTTATGGTTATTAGAAAAAAATGTATTTATAAAGATCACATTTGATAGAACAATATTTTAGAGGATTATATTCAATTAATATAATTTTTATAGGAACAAATTAAATTAAACGATTTTTCAATGGAATACATCTGAAATATAAGATATCAATTTAAACAAGAAAAACCGGAAACAACAAACCAAATACTTGATTGCCTTGGACGAACTTTTAATGAGTGAAAAACACTAGACGACTAAATAAATATTGGTCTACTACAAGATTTTAAGAAAAAAGTAAAAAAAATGTTAAAGAAAAAGTCACAAAACACTAAAGTCTCTTTCATTTCACCGATTCGAGTTTTCAGTTTTAGGTTTCTGCAGTTAAAAGCTCTTAAAAAATGTCACATCTAACTTTTTCTATTACAATTAAAAGCTCTCAAAAAATGTCACATCTCAACTTGAATTTACAAAACAAATGAGGCCTAAACCTAGCCAGACTACGATCAATCATTTGAGGTTAAAATACATACGAATTCGTACCTCCATTGAGGAGTGTTGAGGTTGAGATTCGACGACACGGGAAAAGAGAAAATGTTTGAACCAAATTTTTAAATAGTACCAAAAGGAGCTCTCACTTTTAATATAGTAATAGATATACACTTTTTATGAGAAAATTGTTGAACTTATTTTTAGAGTGTATGAGTTTAAATTTTTACTCATTACTCTTAATTAATACGAAAAATGAATATGAATTAAAAGTGGGGATAAAAGTCTAGACTCATACATTTTAAGGGGTGTTTGTCTCATTTTTCATATTTTTTTTTTACATGTAATCTTTTTGGCCTTTTGTTTCCATGAAGAATATGCAAATTCTTTTGGAGAAAATTGTAGAATTACCTTTAAGAGTGCATGGGCATAGATTTTTACCTCTCATTCTTAATTAATATCCTTTTGTCAGTATAATTATTTGACTGAAAAAGTTATTAATTAAAACTAAATTGTAGAAATCCTGACCCATACATTTTTAATGGCTATTTCTTTCCTTTCCCCAAAATTTTCGGCTTGATTGTGCAGTTATATTATTGTTGTGATTTTATATTCAGAAAATTTACTATGACGGACTGAAAAACAAAATCTTATCCTTCAATACATGGAAAACATCTCAAACACCCACTAAACAACTTAGAGCATGCGATGCTATAATTAATGTATCAATTGTAAATTTAGTATTTGAGTGTAAAAAAAATACTCTTAAATGCAATTCTATTTGTTATGCTAAATTTTCTATATGCTATTCTTTGTGATAAATTTCTCACTAAATATAGCATACGAGAAATTTAACATTTAATTGTTATTAGCTGAAATATTTACTTTTTCATATAATTATTATAACTTTTACATTTTTTAATTATTTTAATAATTAAAATTTACTTTTATAACTCTCAAAAATAAATTTAACATTTTAAATAGTGTTATATATTAAAACAAAAATAAAAATAACATACCATATAATATATAATTTACATTAGCGTTTTTATTGGGATGGTCTTTACACCTTTTCAATGGAACGTGTTCTCAAACTCAGAACTCATGTTACGGTCGATAATGTTCTTTGGACTTGGGCGGCCCTTTGGGCTTTGGTAGTAAGGCCTTGTAGCCTTACTAATGTCTAGGATCCATCATTAGCACTAGGACCCAAATCTATCTAGTCCAGCCCATTTCACCGGTGACCTCTCCAGTTCCAACCATAGCGCCGTAGCCACATTCTCAGACAACAATAGAAATCTCTACAAACGTAAATCATTGAGAAAACAAAGATAAAAGGAGATTAAGGTGGTGTTTAGAATTGATTTTATTTTTTTTTATATTTTTTGAGAAAAAAATAAAAACGTTTTTAAAACGGCGTTTGGCACAATAAAGATAAAAAAGGAAAATGAAAATGATTTTTTAGTTTAGTGTAAAATGAGAGAGAAATGAAAAATAACTTTTAGGGCGCGTTTGGAACTTGTTCAAAAATAATTTTATTTTTTGTGTGAAAATGAAAATGAAAACGTTTTCAATCTCAGACAGAAATCATTTTTGAAAATACATTTGGTAGTTTTATCAAGAGATTATTTTCAGTATAAAAAAAACCCGTTAATGTATCTCTTTCTCTCTCTCTACTTGAGAGATGAGAAAACAAAAATAAAAAATGAAAAACGACTAAAAGTCATTTTTCATTTCTCTCTCATTTCACACTAAACCAAAAAATCATTTTCATTTCCCTTTTTGTCTTTATTGCGCCAAACGCCGTTTTAGAAACGTTTTCATTTTTTATTTCTCAAAAAACGTGAAAAATAAAAACGGGATTAATTCCAAACACGGTTAGTCTTTTTCATTTTTTGTTTTCGTTTCCTTCTCTCTCAAGCATAGAAAGAGAAAGAGAGACATTAATGGGTTTTTTTACATTGAAAACAATCTCTTGATAAAATTACTAAACACATTTTCAAAAACGATTTCTATCTGAGATTGAAAACGTTTTCATTTTCATTTTCATATAAACAACAAAATCATTTTGGAATGAGTTTTAAACGCGCCCTAAGTGTCAGTTTAATAGTGCGTTAGATTTTAAAAAAATTATTATTAGTTATGTTGAAGAAAAAATAACTGTTATAAAAAGCAGTTGAGTGTTTACCAAGATAGAATTTTAAATTTCACCAAGGATATTATGGGTATTATGAAAGTTTCATTAATTGTACTTTATGTTGATTCCCGCACAATCTAAAAGTCAAAGTTGTCTTTAAGCTGCTTCTGATTTTGACTGTAAATTATTTAAAAATTATTTAAAAATTATTTTTTATGATTTTTACCAAACATCATTATCAGTTGATAGTTAGAAAATTAATTTTAGGCTCCAAAAATCACTACCAAATATACCCTAAATGTAAGTAAAAAAGAAAGAAAAAAAAGATAAAATTCATAAACCCACTTTGATTTACTAACAACCCCTCCACACACTTATAACAAAAAAAAAAATAAAAATAAAAAAAATAAAAATAAAAAGAGAAACCCCTTTACCAATTGCACACACATTTGCCCTAACCCTAATTCCCAAAAATTTGCATATCATACCCCTTGACAGTTGACACAAACCAAAAGCCACAAATAACACATTAATTGACTCATATACCCTTCAAATGCTCCCTTAATTACCCAAAACTTGCCACTACGCCACCCTGCCCTTTATGTTAGATCATAATATCATTTCTCCGTGCTTAGCACGCCCTCAAAAAGGCCAAGCCCTAATGTTTGTATCCGGTAGCACGGCGTGAACCGGCTATTGCCGGTAATCATCCGCCAGGTGACCGGGACAGTGGAAATTACGGGCGCCGAGGGATTACTATCTCCACACCCCAAATTCGCCTTCTCTCAACAAATTCAATTTCATATAACGCATCTATATTTACACACACACACACAATATATATATATATATATATATATATCACAATCTCTGAAACTCTTTCTTTCTCTCCTTTTAAACATAACATTGTGTTGCTGTGTCGTCTCTTCTTCTTTCTGTCTGTTTGTTTTCTGAGAAAAAGAAGGAAAAAAAAAAAAGACGAAGAAGAAAGGGAAGGAAGGATAAAATTGTGAATTTTTTTTTTTAATTATCGCATTCCCTCCATATAAGGCTGTTGAGGAATCGCGTAATCTTCGTGTTTGAGCTTTGTATGTGCTTTTCTGCTTGTTTTGGAAGGAAGCCTTCGGCTTTTTCCGACGACTTGAGGATCTCTCTCTGCAAATTTTCGCTTCGATTGTATCTCGTGTTTGGCCAAAAAAACTTTCTCGGAGGCGTTTTGGCCTTCCAAGTAATGTAATTTACTCATCTTTTTTGTGTGGTTGGGATTTCGGTTGTTTCGGAGGTGATCTGTTGAGAGGTTCGGATTGTAATTCTCGTTTGTTCGTGTGTTTCTGGAATTTTTTTGTGGTTTAATTTGCGCGTTTGGCTTTAGATCTGCTTTGTGCTCGTTGCTTTGGTTTTAATGAGAAAATTTGGTTTTGTAGGCTTTTTTGGCTTTGAATCGGAGTTAGAAGCATGATTTCTTGTTGAGGAGAAAAGGAGGTTGTTTCAGAAATGAAGAGGTCCAGAGACGACGTTTACATGGGTTCTCAACTCAAACGCCCTATGGTTTCCTCTCGTGGAGAACCGTAAGTTCAATCTTTTTTTTTTTTGCTTAATTTTTGTTTATACTTTTTCTATGCGCTGTTCTTTGTTTTCTTGCTTGATTATCTTAGTTAAATTTTGTGGATGATGAAATTGAGTTTCTTTTATTCGGAACTTAATGAGTTCTCCTGTTCGTAAATTTTCCTCTTTTTTTTTCTGCGTTCTTTCTTTTTCTGAACAAATGTTTCACCTTTTGATAAATCGTGATTTTTTCTATCAAATAGGTTGACCAGCCGAAGGAAGATTAGTTTTTTTTTTTTCCCTAACTTTTCATTGTAACTTGCCGATGTTGGAGAAGCTTATTGAAATTGGGGAATTTGTGTTTTATTAGGATTTTCATTTTTATTTAGTTGTTGTATTTGAATTTTAGATTAGGATTCTTAGTATTTTGTTTGAATTACGACTCAGTGAGAGTAGTTTTGATTAGTCTATAACTAGGGCTTTAAGCTTGTAATTTCAGTTATGTGTTAGATGTTATTTATCCTAGATTCTGCTGGTTATTGCATTTTATCATTGTGTGGAATTTTAAGCCTCGTCGAGGCTAGAGGGACAAAAGAAAATAGCATTTTATCATTGTTTTATCTGGTCATGCTCTTGTATGGTATGTGCAAATTATGTTTCAGTTTTACATGAAAGTTGTTATCGTTGGTGTTCTTATCTACTGGAGGAGTAAGGAACCTTGAAAACTCGTCAATTAATTTCAATTACAACTTTTTTTTTGTTTTTGTTTTTTTTTTCTTTTAATTTTTGTGAAAATGAAGGTCTGGGCAACCCCAAATGATGGGAGGAGGTGGCTCCCAGAAACTTACAACAAATGACGCACTGGCATATCTAAAGGCCGTGAAGGACATATTTCAGGACAAACGGGAAAAATATGATGACTTTCTTGAAGTAATGAAAGATTTCAAGGCTCAAAGGTTCGATCATGCCGTTCGATATGCTTCCTTTCTTGATATTTTATCATCTGGTTGACTGGAGCGGGGTGGGTTTTGGGTTCCTAAAGTTTGCTTGTTGTTGATTTCTGTTTATGTTGCATTGGCTGCAGAATTGACACTGCGGGTGTTATAGAGAGGGTGAAGGATTTATTCAAGGGACATAGAGACTTAATTTTGGGTTTCAATACATTCTTGCCAAAAGGATATGAGATTACCCTACCACTTGAGGATGATCAACCTCCACAAAAGAAACCCGTCGAATTTGAAGAAGCTATCAACTTCGTCAACAAGATTAAGGTGGGAATATTTCTTTGTAGTTTTAAACATTTTGTTACAGTTTTGTTATCAAGTGCTGTAATCTGATAAAGTTTTCTACGTGCAGAATCGGTTTCAAGGTGATGATCATGTTTATAAATCGTTTTTAGACATTTTGAACATGTACAGAAAGGAAAACAAGTCCATTCAGGAGGTCTACCATGAGGTGTGTATTGGCTTGATGCTTCTTGGGCGGATTTTTTGAAATTTGCCTTTCATGGTTTTCATCTCATTAAATTTTGCAGGTTGCAACACTATTTCATGATCACCCAGACCTGCTTGTGGAGTTCACTCATTTTCTACCCGATGCTTCAGCAGCAGCTTCCACTCATTATCCTCCATCTGGTAGGAATTCTATGCTCCGTGATAGGAGCTCCGCCATGCCCACTATGCGGCAAATGCATGTTGACAAGGTTTGTATATTTTCTCAGTTGTGTGCCCTTTCAGAAAAAGGTAAAAAAATTTCCACATTGCCCACTGAGCTAACATCTGTAGTTACACATCTGTTGACAGAAAGATAGGATCTTGGCTTCACATGGAGATCGTGACCTTAGTGTTGACCGTCCTGATCCGGATCATGATAGATCCCTAATGAAGGCAGACAAAGAGCAGCGCCGGCGGGGGGAAAAAGAAAAGGAAAGGAGAGAAGACCGAGAAAGAAGGGAACGCGAACGAGATGATAGAGATTTTGAGCATGATGTCAGCAGGGACTTCAACCTGCAGCGGTATCCCCACAAAAGGAAGTCTGCACGTAGAGTTGAAGACTCAGCCGGTGAACAAATTCATCAAGGTGGGGATGGTGATGAGAATTTTGGATTGCGTCCCATTTCATCCTCATACGACGACAAAAATTCTGCAAAAAGTGAGTGTTTGATGCTCCTTTTATGAGATTTTCTCACATAATTATTGTCAAAAATCTGATGGTAGATCAAGATTGTTGATAAGGATTGCCTTTAAGCATTAACTTTGATTTGTATCCCAGCCATATGGTAAAAGTTAATTTACTTCCATCAATAGAGAAGCCTTTAAATGAGTTAAAGAGATTGTCGCATTTACTCTTTTTCATTTTGGTTACCTTCTTGAAAATGTTCTCACTCATAATTTTTTGATCAATATTAAATTTTGAACTGTCTTCTTAATGTTAATGGTTTTGTTTACTTCTCTAGGATGAAATGTTTGTTTTACCATTTTCTCTCCCGAGAAGATTACAATAAATAGTTAACTGAGAATATTGCTGATTGCAGCTGTGCATGGATTTGGCTAGTGAGCACTGATGCCATGTGTGGCCTTTGATTTAAGATTATGACCTTTTTTCCCCAGCTGAAGTACATTACTACTATTGAATGCCTGTTTTTCTTTCTCCAGTTGTTTAATTTATTGCATGTTGTGGCAGGTATATATAGTCAAGAGTTTGCATTCTGCGAGAAGGTGAAGGAGAAGTTACGAAATGCTGATGATTACCAAGAATTTTTGAAGTGCCTGCATATCTATAGCAAGGAAATTATAACACGATCTGAATTGCAATCTTTGGTATGGCATGATTTTTTGAATAATTTATTTAATTCTGCATAAATGATTTTCTTTATCTTTTTTGTTGCTGAGAACTGAACATCTACCTTTTTGTCAATTGATGTTCACTGATATAATGCATAATTTGGGGTGAATTTCACTTCTGTACGCTATGCAGGTGGGTGATCTACTTGGAAGATATCCAGATCTTATGGATGGGTTCAATGAATTTTTGGCACGTTGCGAAAAGAATGGTAATTGTCTAAATTTCAGATTTTCTCTTACCCACATACTGTACGATGAAACATGTATCTAATTTAGTCCTGTCCTGCAGATGGGTTCCTTGCCGGTGTCATGAGTAAAAGTACGTAAAGTGAATTGTTCCCCCTTTTTTTCTCATCTATTGTGAGACACTAGTTTATTTTTAAAGTTCTGGGGCTGGAACAAAATCCAACCCATTTTCTTTTTTTTTTTAAGCCTGAGATTCGTGTAAGAAATTTTGAATGATTGATTTATGGTGTTTTTGAAATTTCTCTTTTTTGTGAATTGATTACAGAATCTTTGTGGAATGATGGCCATGTGCCTAGACCAGTGAAGGTAGAGGATAGGGATAGAGAGCGTGATCTTGAAAGAGATGATGGGCTTAAAGATAGAGATCGTGAAAACAGAGAAAGGGATAGAAATGACAAAGGTGCTGTGTATGGGAATAAAGATGTTGGAAGTCACAAGATGTCTATATTTCCCAGCAAGGATAAGTATTTTGGAAAACCTATCAATGAACTTGACCTTTCCAACTGTGAGCGTTGCACTCCTAGCTACCGTCTTCTGCCAAAGAATGTATGTTGTGTTTTTCTCATAGTTCTTTCATATTTTTTCTATTCAGGTCATTTTATTCATGTTGCTATATGTTGTATTATGCAGTATCCAATACCATCTGCGAGTCAAAGAACTGTTCTTGGTGATGAAGTATTAAATGACCATTGGGTATCTGTCACTTCAGGAAGTGAAGATTACTCATTTAAACACATGCGCAAAAACCAGTATGAAGAAAGTCTGTTCCGATGCGAAGATGACAGGTTTTGAAGCATAACAGAATCTAATAGTTATTTGTTACTAGTTTATGGTTGTCGTGAATTGGGATGGTCTTCCATTTCGTTCTATCTTTATATCATCACCTATCAGAGTAGTCTTCGTCTCATCATTTGACTATAGAAGGAAAAAATTTTGTAATTATTGCTCTATAGAAAAGAATAGCATTTCATGTCGTGCATTATCATTTTCTGGATATTTCCTTGTTCTTTCCTCCTTCAATGATATATAAATTGCTTGAAAGAAATAGCGCTGTCACTGCATCTACTTTGCCATTCCTTAATGTTCTATTATTGACGTTCTCAGGTTTGAACTGGACATGTTGCTAGAGTCTGTCAATGTGACAACCAAGCGTGTAGAAGAACTCCTGGAAAAGATCAATAACAATACGATCAAGACAGATAGCCCAATTCGTATTGAAGATCACTTCACAGGTAATGGTCTCTTAGATGCCATATTTTGTTTCTGTGATGTGAGTTCAGTCATTGGAGGCTTTTATGTGTTGACGGCATTCTTCCCGTCTTTGTTGTAGCTCTGAATCTGAGGTGCATTGAACGGCTGTATGGTGATCATGGGCTTGATGTGATGGACGTGTTGAGGAAGAATGCTACTCTTGCTTTGCCTGTAATATTAACCCGTTTGAAGCAAAAACAAGAAGAGTGGGCAAGATGTCGTGCTGATTTCAACAAAGTTTGGGCTGAAATATATTCAAAGAACTATCACAAATCACTTGATCATCGTAGCTTCTATTTTAAGCAACAGGACACGAAGAGTTTGAGTACAAAAGGTAAAACAACAACCTTATATCACAACTTTCCCATATTTATGACCCGTACAATTGTTTGTTTTTCTTTTTCTTTTTTTTTTTCATGGTCTTTATGACCAAACTGCCTGTAAGATAATATTCCATACAACTGTTTCTTTTATTTTTCACCCCGGGCCTTTCTTAGTATACTCTTTTCTTTTGTCGAGAAAATTGTTGAATTTAGCCTTAGAGTGCATAAGTATGGATTTTTACCTGTTACTCTCTATTAATACCATTTTGACTAATATACTTATTTGACTAAAAAGGATATTAATCAAGAGTAAGGGATAAAAATCCAGACCCATGCACTCTAAGGAGTATTTGTCTATTTCCCTTTCTTGTCACTTATTCTTTTCATATACTGATGGTTGGCTTGTCATTTCCCTCCCCAGCCTTATTGGCAGAGATAAAAGAAATAAGTGAGAAGAAGCGGAAGGAAGATGATGTTCTTCTTGCTATAGCTGCTGGAAATAGAAGACCAATCATTCCAAACTTGGAATTTGAGTATCCTGATCCTGATATCCATGAAGATTTGTATCAGCTCATCAAATATTCATGTGGAGAAGTTTGTACGACTGAGCAGTTGGATAAAGTTATGAAGATATGGACAACCTTCCTGGAACCCATGCTTGGTGTTCCTTCGCGACCGCAGGGCGCAGAGGACACAGAAGATGTCGTTAAGACAAAGACTCATGCTGTCAAAAGTGCTCCTGGAAGTGCGGGAGAGAGTGAAGGCAGTCCTCGAGGTGGCACTACTGTTGTGAATTCCAAACAGTTAAATCTTTGCAGAAATGGAGATGAAAGTATTCCGCCTGAACAATCAAGTTCTTGCAGAACTTGGCCTGCAAATGGAGATAATGGCAACAAGGAAGATAGTTCTGTTGATGTGGATCGTGCACGTAAAGATGAGCCTTCCAGTGCCGCTGGACATGGGAAACTGCAGATTCATGTATCTACGGCCGATGAAGCATCTGGAGTCAACAAACAAGACCATCCTAGTGAACGGTTAGGCAATTCAAACACTTCACATGCCACTGGTGTGGAGCAAAGTAATGGAAGAAACGTAGAGGACACATCAGGTTTTTGGATGCTAATCTACCTTCAAATTTAAAACTGCTTATTATTCTTTTGCCTCTCTCTCTCTCTCATTCAATTACCAGATCACTGAGATGCTCCTTTTTTCCCACTGCAAGGTCTTAGTGCTACTCCTTCCAGGCCGGGTAATGGTACTGTTGATGGTGGACTTGAGTTTCCTTCATCAGAGGTACTGTTTAACAGTAAAATTTCTGCTAATGTGTTAACAGCATGGATCGTGCCATTATTCTTATCTTTGATCAAAATTGATGCATCAGGGTTGTGATTCTACGAGACCTGTTATATCTTCAAATGGGGCTGTGACAGAAGGCACCAAAAGTCATAGATATCAAGAAGAATCTGTTGCGCATTTCAAGGTTGAAAGAGAAGAGGGTGAATTATCTCCTAATGGAGATTTTGAAGAGGATAATTTTGCAAATTATGGGGAGGCTGCTTTGGAAGCAGTGAATAAAGCAAAGGATGGTGCTGTTAGTAGGCAATATCAAAACAGACATGGAGAGGAAGAATTGTGTTGCGGGGAGGCAGGAGGAGAGAATGATGCAGATGCTGATGATGAAGGGGAGGAAAGTGCTCAGAGGTCATCAGAGGATAGTGAAAATGCTTCTGAGAATGGTGATGTTTCAGGAAGTGAGTCTGGTGATGGTGAAGAGTGTTCTCGTGAAGAGCACGAGGAAGATGGGGAGCATGATGAGCATGATACAAAGGCCGAGAGTGAAGGTGAGGCTGAAGGGATGGCTGATGCCCATGATGTTGAGGGAGATGGAACGTCATTACCCCTTTCTGAACGTTTTCTACTGACTGTGAAGCCTCTTGCAAAGCATGTTCCTCCCGCTTTGCATGATAAAGAGAAGGACTCTCGTGTTTTTTATGGAAATGATTCTTTCTACGTGCTTTTCAGACTTCACCAGGTATAGCTCATTACATTTCGCTGGAAACACACATACATCTATAAATTCACATGCATGCGTGTGATTCATTTGACTTACAATTACACAGTATGGCAGTCAAAGACACTTTTTTTTAAATCCAATTTGGCAGACATTATACGAGAGGATACAATCGGCTAAAATCAATTCATCATCTGCTGAAAGGAAGTGGAGGGCTTCAAGTGATACAACCCCGACAGATCTCTATGCTAGGTGGATATTGGTTTTGATTTATGTTTTATCTCTAATTTTATGCAACTTCAAAGAAATTGCTATATTTTAACTTGGAGCTTCATATTTCGTTTCGTGGTCCAGATTTATGAGTGCGCTTTACAACTTGCTTGATGGTTCTTCTGATAACACAAAGTTTGAGGATGATTGCCGAGCTATAATTGGAACCCAGTCATACGTTTTATTTACACTAGACAAGTTGATTTACAAACTTGTTAAACAGGTAACACAAGTAGGCTTTTTCTTCTCCTCCCTCTTCTTGTCTCTCTCCATTGTCCTATGATTGTTCTTTTCTTTCCATTCCTAGCAGCATTTCTTTTTCATGAAGATTTCTCTTCCACAAATTTTTTCAGCTCCAAACAGTTGCTACGGATGAGATGGACAACAAGCTTCTCCAACTATATGCTTATGAAAAATCAAGAAAACCGGGAAGATTTGTTGATATTGTTTATCATGAGAATGCCCGTGTTCTTCTACATGATGAGAACATTTATCGAATCGAATGTGTAGGTTTTCACAGATTTTTTTTAATTTTTAATTTTTTCCTTTCTTTTCATTTTTTAAATTGAAAAAAAAAAAACTAAATTTCCCTTTTAATTTCTTTTTCATTACAGTCATCCTCACCGACCCACCTATCAATTCAGCTTATGGACTATGGACACGACAAGCCAGAAGTAACTGCTGTATCCATGGATCCTAATTTCTCGGCCTATCTGCATAATGACTTCCTCTCAGTTCTTCCGGATAAGAAAGAGAAGTCCGGGATCTTCTTGAAGAGGTTTGTCGGATTTATTGAAATTGGTACAAGACTTTTGCAATGTCTAGTAGTCACTGTTGATAGTGCTTCCTGGTTTTTGCAGGAATAAGAGCAGATGTGCCAGTAATGATGATTTTTCTGCTACCTGTCAGGCCATGGAAGGACTTCAAGTCATCAATGGTCTCGAATGCAAGATAGCTTGCAATTCATCCAAGGTAAACCATCTTTAATTTGTTTGTGCGTGCTTTTTTCATTACTAGATGATGATAAGATTTGGAATTTGACGTTTTCATATGTATTTTGTTGAGTAAGGTTTCCTACGTTTTAGACACAGAAGACTTTTTGTTTCGGACAAAAAAGAAGAGGAAAATTTGGTACAGAAACAGTTCTTGCCACAATCAGGTTAGGTCTTCAAATGGCTCAAGTAGAGTACAGCGGTTTCACCGATTGCTTTCTAGCTCTTGACATGCCTTTCCATGGTGCAAAGTAAATACAGTATGTACCTTTCTAATCCTGATTATGAACTTTGTTTTTGTTAATTTGGTGGATGTGTTCTTTTTTTTTTTCACGCGTATGAATTTTTGACAATATGCTCAACATTTCGTTTTTGTTCTGGAGCAGAGCAATTTGCACGGATACTCATACACAAGGCGCCTGAAATCGGAGAGGAATGAGGCGCCGTGAGTGAATAGCTTCTGTGGAAATTAACCTTTCATCATGTATTATCATCGTATTTCTGTCCCACCAATCAAATAAAACAGTTGATAAAAGAGTTGAGGGAAGAGATGACATTGCTCGAAAGTTGTAATATACTGTGAGTTGGCATCTTTAGCCACGACCTACTTGTAAATATAGGTCATTGTGATGTAAACTTTAAAGAGATACATGTTCATTCAATTCATCTATATCCTTTTGTCATCTTATTTTGTCTAATAATACATTTTTTCCCTCTATATTTTCCTTTATTATTGCTTAGCCTTCAGAAACAGTTGTAGAGGTAGAGATGGTTGGGGATTGTTCTCTATTATTTTTCTGCTACCCCTTTTTTCCCCTCTAAGATTTGTAATATTGTATATGCCTAATTTCTCATTCGAGAAATCGTCATTTTGCTATTAATTGTAAGGTCCAGAATCTGTTTCATTTTCTCCGGTTTGTATATTACATGGAGGACACATATTTGATTTTTAATTTTATATTTTTTTTGGGTGGAAAGTTGGTGATTACATCAAGATGCCATTAATATTACACCAGTTCGCGTATTTTTTCAATTCATGGATACTTTTTGTGTGTGCGTGTGTATAATAGTAGAATAGTGATTTGGTTATATCACTTGTGAACCTCAAAAGAAAAGGTCCCATCAATGGTAAGTGTTCGGTGAACAAATTCGGAAGCCAAAAAAAAAAAAAAAAAATGAAGCATTGTTCAACAAAGTGACCCTAGTCGATGCGGGTATTTGAGATGCATTACTTCAATTCGAGTGAATCTTATTGTCGATCCAATAAAATATACTGATGCGTGTACGAGATACAGTACTACAAGTCTCGAGTGTACGGATCCCATTGTTAATCCAATAAAATAGAATATTACTACACCGACTGGTCTCTAGGGAGAACAAAACATAAAAGTTTTATATTAAATATAATGAAATTCTTAAATTATTTGATATTCCTAACTTTTTTTTTTTTCTATATTTGTCGAAATTCACTAAATTTAAAGTACAGCTATTTACATATGTACCAGTATTTTTATTCTTGTAAGGTGGTATATAGGCACGGTGTAGCCTAAAAGACCTCAACTCTCGGGGCTTTTAATTTCTTTTTCTCTGTCTTCTTGTTTTGGCTAAATTTTAGTTGACTTGACTTGAAAATAAAAAATAACGATTATATATAACTAACCTTGGAAAAGGCTTTCCCCACATAGGAAACAAAACAAAACTTTGTGAACAAATTGTGTTGGCATAAGTAGCCATCAATCATCCAGCCAGTTCACTAATTGGTGGACGGTCCATGACATCAGAAGCACTTCGTGCATTACTCTGCAGGACTGGATCAATATCAGGCAACTTAGGAACTTGGGCCAACAAATCAATAGTCCGTCGTAAGAGTCGGGCCAGATCACCCTCATCCATTGCACAGTCCATCATTAGTTCTCTCCAAGTCAGCCCAGAAGCCCAAGCCTCAACCATACCCGAAAACTGGCTGTCCAAACAACAGGGAATGTTTACCCCATGCTTTTCTTGTAGTTCAAGGAGGGAGTTTCTTTGCTCGCTCAAGAAGTTTATGATGTTGAGCACTGTTGTGGTGGACTCGTACATGTAGCTGTTGTTCTTCCAAGGGCGGACTTTAATCCCTTCCGAGACTAAACTCGCAATGACGGCAGCGAGTTGCGCTGGTTTTAGTTCCATTAAGATCTTGTTTCTAAGAACCATTGCAAGCCACAGTTCGTTCTCTCCTCGAATTGCAGCTGCGGTTTCCCCGAGAGGAAATATGACATGGGTGTTGATGTCTAATGCCCTTGTTTCGTGAATGACATTGCTGATCTGCAAGAATTCCTTCCAACCAGATGGTTCAATCTGCTCTATTCTATTTGTCAAACGTCTTAATCTAGCATTCAAGCGCTTGATTTTCTCCTCGGTTATCTTAGTCATGTCGAGGATCTTTTTGAATTCTTTAAATCCCTCTGTGCGTGATATCTTCTTCTTCAAACGTGCAACTTTGGTTCTTTGTGCTTTGTAAGATTCTACAGCACCACGGTATGTTTTCGATGTATGTAAAAGCTCGTCCTCTTCAGAAAGACTGTTCAAAATCGGCACATTCAAACTCCACGGCCATGTCTCAACTGATCCTTCCATGCACCATACGCCACCAAATTCAGAATCCGAAAGCTTCTCCCATTTCATTTCCTCCTTGTCAAGAAGTGTCCTCATAATTTCCCGAGGCAAAGCATCCCCCTGAGCTAAAGCAACATTCGGAAAGCCCGTCTTATAAACTGTTTTAATCCACTTTTGTGTAAATAGATACCATGAATTATCTGAGCCAAGTGCCACATAGTATGATGGTTCTAAACTTGGTTCAAACTCAAAACTTGACTCTTTCC